TTAGTTAATAAACATAGCTCACAACATAGTGTAAGAATATACAGTAGCTGTATTAACAGTTAAAATACAAATTATAAAAAGGTTGCTGCACTTTGTCAAAAAACTGATTGAGGAAAAAAAATGATTGAAAAAAAGTTTTTGTCAGCAGATTATGATGGGTAAATCTAGTGCAGGGAGGGGTAAAATCCCTAAGATATCGGTTCAATGAGATTCAGCCTGCAGCCTTATAGTGTATGCAAAATTATTGTTATATACATTTAAATGATAACAAAGTAAAAACTAACTTACAGTTTGACTTGCAATTTGAGAATCCAAAAGAATGGCAGCAAATACAACGCTTGCTTGGAAAACTCTATAATGAAGACAATGAAAATAGTATGGGTGCTGGTGTTTAACTCCAATGTAAATGCTTTCTAGGATTGTATATCAATCAGTATATAATAATTTTTTACTTGGCAATTTGTAAAATTAAGCCTCACTGTTTTGCTTTTCCAACAAATCAATATATAAAACAAATAAATACAGTACTATTTTCTTTTCGTCAAGAGTCACAAAATAGAATGCTGGATAGATGGCACTTCATAAGTGCTGTTTTATTATTATTTAATAAGGTATAATCTCTGATCATAATTGAAAACAAAATTAATTGAATCTAATAGGCGGATCTCTTTGTTATTCCTTACCCTTGTGGGACATCTTGTAGTTGGATGATGAGTGTTGCTATTGTTTGTAAAACCATTTCATACACAGTGTTTTGACTCATATCCACAATATCAATCTGCAGAAAAAATTAATAATGTCATTTATAATATTATATTTAAAATATTATATGTTATAACGGTAACATATAAACATAATAATATATAAATTTCGACGTTGTTTGCATCAGGAAACTTGATAGAAATTATTTAAAATTAGCATTGCCGTACCCGCTGCCACTTGGGGATCGGACTTAACACTAGCCGTTAAGCGCAAGCATGGTGGATCTAGCAGTTATGACAGCAGACTAGTTATCTAGAGGTTGTGGGTTCAATTCCCAACCGAAACACATTAAATTTTCTTTTGCAAGTATTTATACTAAGTATTCGGTATGATGACCGCCATTTCTATCAATAATAATAAATATTATAATTTATTTCTCCCAAACAATTTGTGTTGAGCTCCCCATTGCAGTCCACACTTGCACCACAAATGAAGCCAACTACATAAATGATTCTAATTCTGTAGTTTAAAACCAATCTATATGTGGAGTACCATAAAAAAAATGTCAGTGTGTGTACTGCTGACTAGCTCACACTTAGTACACTATGTGCAGTGATGCATGAAAACTGAGTACCGATCCTCTTGAGGCTGTTTGCTAAGCTGAATTGTTTCATATGAGGTGGCATTAACGGTATTATTAGAGATGATTATTTGGAGCAGCACAAACCTTTCCCTGCAATATCATAATC